ATGACCTCTTGAGGTCCCTTCCAACTCTGATATTCTATGATTCTATGATTAGTCCCTTGCACCTGGTGCTTTTCACAGAGCTGTCCCTCTTTGCGACCAGAGGTCATGCTGGCTGCTTTGCAGAGAAGCTGGCTCAGCCTCAGGCAGCCATCTGGAAGAGAGCCTACAACTGCTGTAGTGCCACCAGTAGTAGGCTGGGGAGTACTATCCATACAGACAAGAACTGATCTGAGATCTTCACAAAAATCAAGAGAACTACAGATAGATCCATAGTTTTTTCCAGATCCCAGTGACCACTATGGGTGGCTGCGAGGGGACTGTGATAGTGTGTGACATTAGGGGAAAAATAATCAAGCTTTCAGCATGACTGAGCATTTTACATAGGTTCCATTTTCAAGGCTACCTTTGCAAGGAAAAAGCTTAGAAACTTAACTTACAAAAAAAAATTCTGAGATCTTTTCCATTTTTAGGTCCCTCAAATTAGGCAGGCCCTGCAACTACAGATTTTGCAAGTCCACAAAGGCCAGCTTGGCTTTGCACTTCTATTTTCGTCAAGGATCTCATAGCAATTAATAGACATTAATTCAGCTTCCCAACCCCTCTATGAGGTAGATATTATTCCCATTTTTATATGGGAGTGAGACAAATTCAATGCCTTGCCCAAAGCCACACAGTCTGTCAGGGCACAGCTGAGAACAGAACCCTGCCTACTGGACACTCAATACCTAATCTCATATTTTGAAAAAAACTGCAGAATTTTTAACATCTTTCAGATTTGTGAATGTGCAAAGTTGTGTAACACTCCCATCCCCTCTGCACCCAGGCTCCCTTACATCCACTCTACCCATCTGTAGAGGAGTCAAAATTTGTGAAACTTATGCATCAAGGACCGAGAAGATCATGAAAATTAAAGGAGAGGGTGGTCTACTTTAACTTACACCTTCATACACGCACAGTTGCTTTTCTTGTTATGTTCCTATCTTCCAGCCCTCAACACGTTAATTACACCAACTCACACTCCCTTAGGGGACACACAAACTCTGTGGGCCAAATTAAGAGTTGACATATCAGAAGGCATGTAAGTACCATTTGGGTAAGTGAGAGTGATAGTTTATGTCAGTCAGTTTAAAGATGTCCAAATGTCACATGCTTGATGAGAGTGCCAAGTGAAAATGTAAGTTACACTAGCCTGGACTTGCCTCTGAACTTAGTCTAAAAAGGCAATAGGAGCCTTCCTGTAATAGCCTCTACTTTAAATGAGCTCCAGATGTACAGGTAACATTTTCAATGTCAGAGGGTCCAAATGTCATCAAATATGGATTTGCTCCACCCTCTCTCTACTGAAATTTTTACCCAACAGCAACTTAAAAACCAAAGCATTTGGGAGTCAATGAAAAGCAGGAAGGAAGGAAGAGAGAGTGGTGAAAGCTGGCACCCCTTATATAGTTATTACCAAAACAAATTGCAAAATTACAAACCAGCCCAGTCACATGGAGAAAACTAAGAAGTAGCAAAAACTGAGAAGTGACTGATCCTTGCTGTACCTCTGAAACATGAGCAACAAACCAATGTGTGGAATTATTTTCTGCTCATAAGGAAGTATTTGTTATTAAAGTAGCCTTCTATGATCAAGTTATACCACTTTTTTCCCCCCAAATAGGAGCCCTAATTGTAAGTTTGAAATTCAGTCAAACTTCTGTCATACCTTTCTGAGCTAATTATTATGGTTGCAGAGCTTGTTTCCTCATTCTGAAATGCATATTAAATTTCCTTTCTTGTTTCATGACCCCTCTCATTCATTTTCAGATCACAGCCTTATACTGTCACCATCTTGCATGTGGCTTAGCCTCATGGGGAATCTCTTCCTAGCTGATCAGTACAGGCAGGGACACAAGATTGAGGGGCTCAATTATTCTAGATAAAGAAAATAAATAGAAACTTTTTAACCATAATTTTCCATCTTTATTCATTTATGAAAAATGCATCCACAAAAGTCTCTGGGTACATGCTCAACATAAGTCAAGTTACAACCCCCTCAAAAACAAAATGAAGTGAGAAAAGTCTGACTTCTTGGCTTCAAAAATAAAGCTCTTCCCACATAATAAAGATCCATGTATTTGGTGTGCTATTAAGACCCCAATTAGCTGTTAAATCTTTTTGCCACCATATATATTATTACAACATTTAATAGGTATTCTTTGCTGCAAATTATTAGAAAAATAAAAAGTGTAGCCAGTATAACGTTTTGCTACTTGCACAGGACTTAACTTGTGTAGAAAACTTTTAGACATACAGTAACATTGCTTCCAACTGGCACTGCACTTAGTCAAAAATTCCTGCAGTTAAATGCAAAACATATTGATTATCAGTGATGTCTAAGGCTGAAAAATTTTTCAATGAACTGAAAGTTTTATATAGTTGGAATAGAAAATCTAAATATAAGCTGTGTGTGTGTGTGTGTGTGTGTGTGTGTGTGTGTGTGTGTGTGTGTGTT